TTGCGGTCGAACAGCAGGTTGGGGTAGGCGATCTTCATCTCCTCACTGTCGGGATCGATGTAGTAAACCAAGGCATCGACCGACTTGGTGAAATCGTCCGTAGTGCACACGTTCACGTTCGTTCCGGTGGAAGACTCGGCAGCAAAGTGCGCCGCAGTGGCAAGGTAGTCATAGCCCGCCTTCGGCTTCATGATATAGGCCACCAGGACGTGCTTGCCGTTCTTGATGAGTGTCGCCTCATCCAACGACAGATCCGCATAGCGGCTGGATTGGTCAAGGGCCTTGCGAGCTGTGGCCGATTGCCTCACCGGCATGACGCTGGTAGGGAGGGGTGTGCTGCCATGCGAGCGGGCAGCACGTCCAGAGGTCGCCGCCGCGGCGAGGACCGCACCGCCAGCGATCCTAGGCTGGCCCTTTAAGCGTCCTCTATGGTTTCATTCTAGACTTCCAGTAAGGTAAAAAAAAAATCAAACTTTAGGGTTTAGGGTGTGGGGTTTATGGAGGTAAGAAGGTCAAATTTAGAGTCTCCCAACTGCCTACCTAGCATCACTGCCGGCAGAGATGTTGGTGCTGAGGATGGAGGCGCCTGTGCGGTCTGGGCGGTGTGCTGCTGGCGAAGGTTCGTGGTCCCTGGTGCGGCCGTGAAAGTTTGACTGCCCGAGCTCATATACCTCAGGTTGCGGCTTCATTTCAGCTTGAGACGTAGTAAAATCACGGCAGAACTTAAAAAGTTTACGAAAGTCGCTGCCAAGATACGCCAAGCCGGCCAAACCACCCATGGCCATGACTGCCGATGTGCGCTGCGACATGATCAGGAACTCTGAGCACCAATTTGCTTTTCAACCTGGCCTTTGCTGATACGCTCGGACCAGAGGGAGTGCGGTTGAAGAATAAGGGTTTCGGCGCTCACTCTGGTACAAGCCAGAAGGATATTGGCTTAAAGACTGAAGGGTTAAGGGCATCTCGGGACTAACAAGAATTCAGGGTTGAAAGTTTGGGGGGATAGTGTCTCGTAGGGCACCACAAAAACTCTCCTGTGAAGCTGTAAGGAAGCTCCGCCC